GGAGTCTTTCAATTTCTTTTTTGCCCTCTGGTTCTAAAATATTAGGGCAGTTTTCCTTGATAATATCATGAAAGATGATGTCTAGGCTGTTTTTTGATCATGGCTTTCAGAGAGTCCAGTAATTTTTAAATACTTTCTCCTGGATCTATTTTCCAGGCCAGTGTTTTTTTTTTTTCCCAATGAGACATTTCACATTGTCTTCTATTTTTTCATTCTTTTGGATTCGTTTTACAGTGTCTTGATTTCTCATAAAGTCACTAGCTTCCAATTGCTCTATTCTAATTTTTAAGGAAGTATTTTCTTCAGTAATCTTTTGGACTTCCTTTTCCATTTGGCCAGTTTTGCTTTTTAGGACATTCTTCTTCTTGTGGCTTTTTGGACGTCTTTTGCCATTTGGGTTAGGCTTTTTTTTAAGGTGTTAATTTCTTCAGTATTTTTTTGAGTCTCCTTTAGCAAGCTGTTGACTTGTTTTTCATGATTTTCTTGCATCATTCTCATTTCTCTTTCCAGGTTTTCCTCTACTTTTCTTACTTGCTTCTCAAAATCCTTTTGAGCTCTTCCAAGGCCTGGGAGTGATTCATATTACTCTTGGAGGCTTTGGATGTAGCAGCTTTGACTTTGTTGATTTCTTCTGGTTGAATTGAAGAAGCCATTGATGAACTCCCTGGGAAAAAATCTAGAAGGCCAGATGGATTTACATGCAAATTCTATCAAACATTTAAGGAATAATTAATTCCAATACTATACAGACTGTTTGGGAAAATAGGCGAAGAAGGAGTCTTACCAATTTTATTTTTTTATGTTACAAATATGGTGCTGATACCTAAAGCAAGAAGAGTCAAAATAGAGAAAGAAAATTATGGACCAATTTCTCTAATGAATATAGATGCAAAAATTTTAAACAAAATATTAGCAAATAGATCACAGCAACTTAGCACAAGAACAATACATTATGACCAGGTAGGATTTATACCAGGAATGCAGGGTTAGTTCAATATTAGGAAAAGTATCGGCATATTTGAGCATATCAACACCAAAACCAACAGAAATCAGAGGATCATCTCAATGGATGCAGAAAAAGTTTTGACAAAATACAACACCCATTCCTATTAAAAACACCAGAAAGCATAAGTATACATGGAGTGATCCTTAAAATAATAAATAGCATGTATCTAAAACCTTCTGCAAGTATTATATGAAATGGGGACAAGGTAGAAGCATTTCCAGTAATATCAGGTGAAACAAGGATGTCCATTATCACCACTGTTATTTAATATTGTACTGGAAATGTTAGCTTTAGCAATAAGAGAAGAAAAAGAAATTGAAGGTATTAGAATAGGCAAAGAAGAAACAAAGCTATCACTCTTTGCAGATGACAGAATAATATACTTAGAGAATCCTAAAGAATCAAGTAAAAAACTACTTGAAATAAAACAACTTTAGCAAAGTTGCAGGCTATAAAATAAACCCACATAAATCATCAGCATTTCTATATATTACCAAAAGCCCAACAGCAAGAGATAGAAAGAGAAATCCATTTAAACTTACTGTAGACATTATAAAATATTTAGGAGTCTACCTCCAAAACAAACCCAGGAACTCTATGAACACAATTACAAAACACTTTTCACACAAATAAATCAGATCTAAATAATTGGAAAAACATCAGTTGCTCATGGTAGGCTGAGCTATGTTAAAAATGACAATCTACCTAAGCTAATTTACTTATTCAGTGCCATACCAATCAAACTACCAAAAATTATTTTATAGAGTTAGAAAAAATAATAACAAGATTCATTTGGAAAAAAAAAGGTCCAGAATATCAAAGGAACTAATGAAAAGAAATGCAGGGGAAGGTGGCCTAGCAATTCCAGATCTTAAATTGTATTATAAAGCAGCAATCATCAAAACTGCTTGGTACTGGCTAAGAAATAGAGGTGGATCAGTGGAATAGGTTAAATATGCAAGACACAGTAGTCAATGACTATAGTAATCTATTATTTGATAAACCCAAAGACCCCAGCTTCTGGGATAAGAACCCACTCTTTGAAAAAAACTGCTGGGAAAACTGGAAAAGAGTATGGCAGAAACTAGGCATAGACCCAAATCTCACACCATATACCAAAATAAAGTCAAAATGGTTCATGACTTAGATATAAAGGCTGATACATAAGCAAACTGGGAGACAAGGAATAGTTTACCTATCAGATCTATGGAGAACAGAAGAATTCATGACCAAACAGGAGATAGAGAACATTATGAAAGCAAAATGGATCACTTTGATTCCATTAAATTGAAAAGTTTTTGCACAATGCCAATACAACTAAGATTAGAAGGAAGGTAGAAAATTGGGAAAGAATTTTTACAACCAATCTCTCTGATAAGGGCCTCATTTCTAAAATACATAGAGAATTAAGGCAAATTTATGAGAATACAAGCCATTCCCCAATTGATAAATGGTCAAAGGATATCAATAGACAGTTTTCAGATGAAGAAATTAATGCCATCCATAGTCATATGAAAAAATGCTCTAAATCATTATTGATTGGAGAAATGCAAACCAAAACAACTCTGAGGTATCACATCATACCTATCGGATTGGCCAACATGATAAAACAGGAAAATGACAAATGTTAGAGAAGAAGTCTGAAAATTGGAACACTAATGCATTGTTGGTGGAGTTGTGAAATGATCCAACCATTTTTCAGAACAATTTAGAAGTATACCCAAAGGGCAATAAAAATGTGCATACTCTTTGACCCAGCAATAGCACTTCTAGAACTATATCCCAAAGAAATCATACAATTGGGAAAAGGACCCACATGTATAAAAATATTCATAGCAGCTCTTTTTGTGGTGGGAAAGCATTAGAAATTGAGAGGATACCCATGAATTGGGGAATGGCTGAGCATGTTGTGTTATTTGAATGTAATGGAATACTATTGTGCTATAAGAAATGATGAACAGGCTGACTTCAGAAAAACCTGGAAAGGCTTGCATGGTCTGATGCTGAGTGAAGTGAGCAGAACCAAGAGAACGTTGTACACAATAATAGCCATGCTGTGCGATGACTAATATTGATAAACATAACCCTTCTCAGTAATGCAAAGATCTAAGACATCTCCAGAGGCCTCATGATGAAAAATGTTACCCACATCCAAAGAAGGAACTATGGAAGTTGAATTACTATCTCTTCTTTCCTCTTCTGTTGGATTTTGTTTTCTGTTTCTGATGATTCCTCCTATTGGTTTTAATTTTTACTTGCAACATCACTAATGTGAAACTATGTTTCAAAGGAATGTAAATGTGTAGCCTTTATCAGATTGTGTACTGTCTTGGGGAGAGTGGAGGGCAGGAAGGGAGAGAAAAATTTTAAACTCAAAAGCATATGGTAGTGATTGTTGATGAATCAAAATCAATCAATAAAATATATTTTAAATAAAGGAAGATGCTGTCTAGGCTCTTTTTTTCATTATGACTTTCAGTCAGATCTGTAATTCTTAAGTTATTTCTCCAGGATTTATTTTCCAGGACAATTGTTTCTCCGTTGAGGAATTTTATATTTTCTTCCACTTTTTCATTCTTTTGATGTTGTTTTACTGATTCCTGATGTCTCATAGTGTCACTAACTTCCAATTGCCCAATTCTAATTTTTGATGATTTGTTTTCTACAGTTAGCTTTTGTACCTCCTTTTCCATTTGACGTATTTTACTTTTTAGGTAGTCATTTTCTTACATGTACTTTTTTCATTTTTGTCAACTGCATTTTTAAATGAGCTGTTCAATTTTTCTTATAACTCCCTTATTTGACTTTTAAAACCCTTCTTCAGCTCTCTAAGAAGGGTTTTTGGGCTTGAGACCAGTTCATATTCCCCAGCAAGATGATGAGAATGGGCATGGTGAAAGGGGAGAAGAAGTAGGGTAGGCTGGGGGGAAAGGGGATTGAGGGAAATACATACTTGTGAATGGTTACTATGAAAAATGTTTTTTACAATGAGTTTCTCTGATAAAGACTACTTCTGAAACATAGAAAAAATTGAGTCAAACTTATAGAAAGAAGAGTCATTCTTCAACTGATAAATGATCAAAGTACAGGAATAGGCAGTAGTCAGACAAAGTCATCAGAGCTATGTATAATCATATAAAACATGCTGCAAATCATAATCAATGACAGAAACTCAGAATAAAACAACTTAGCTACCTTCCACCTGTCAGATTGGCTAATATGATAGTAAGTGAAAATGACAAATGTTGGAGGTGATGTGAGAAAATTAAAACACTAATGTTGGTGAAATTATATGCTGATTCCACCAATCTGGAATGCACATTTGAAACTCTGCCCAAAGACTTATAAAACCACACATATGCATTGAATAAGCAATAACGCTACTATGTCTGTATCCCAGAGTTCATAAAGAAGTGAAAAGGGCCTATATGTACAAATATTTATAGCAGTTCTTTCTAGGGTGGTAAAGAATTAGACATTGAAGTGATGTCCATGAAGTGGGGAATGGCTGAATAAATTATATGTGATTGTGATGGATTACTATTGTGCTTTAAGTAATGGTGAACAGGAAGTTCTCAGACAAACATGAAGAGATGAACTGCTGCTGAGTGAAGTGAGCAGAGCCAGGAGAACATGCTAACAGTAATAATAATATTGCATGATAATCTACTACAAATAACTTTGGTATACTTAGCAATACAATGATCTAAGACAATTTTATAGGACTTATCAGGAAAGGTGTTGTGCTTCTCCCAAGAAAGAACTGGAAGAACTTGGGTGCAAATGAAAGATCCATTTCTTGACTTAGTCAATTTTCCTGATTTTTTTTATCTGTGTTTTCTTTCATAGAATAACTTCAATGGAAATGTGTTTTACATGAATATGCATGTATCTATGTCAAATAACTTGCCTTCTCAATGAGGAGGCAGGAGAGGGAGGAGTGAATTTGGAATTCATAATTTGAAAAAAGAAAATGTTAAAATTGTTTTTACAGATAATTGTGAAAAAATACAATATTAAATAAAGAAGAGCTACCTAGACCTGAGGTCTGCTCTAAAGCCCAGGGGATTCATGGATCATTCAGAGGAGGCTATGGAGGCAAACTATAAAAAGAAGAACTCTTGAAGATCAGTATCTGCTTGGAATATTTCAGTCATCTCTATGCATGTTACTGTGGGTAGAGCCAACAAGAGACCATGTGAGTTACCCAAAACACCCCATGCAGACAATACCAAACAGTATTGAGTATTTAGGAGTTTTGTGAAATATATTTCTTTTCTAGGGATAAAAGTGAAGGATAATGGAGCAATCCATCACACTAAGTCTCCTTACAAAAGCCCTAGTATTTTCTGTGAACATGGCCAATGGCACTTGATAATTTATGGTAGCCTACTGGGAACTAATAATCATTATCATTATTATTATCAACAACAACAATAAACATCTATACAGTGCCTACTGTTTTTACTTATTTTATTACAACCCTCCAGAGGCTGATTTCTTTTACAAAGAGAAAAGAGGCTGAGTGAGTTAAGTAAGTATGGAGTCTGCAAGAAAAATGGAAGGAAGGAATGGAATAAGCACAGAAAGCAGAAAGGAAGGAAACAAGAATTAAGTGCCTATTAGGTGATGATAGACACTGGGCTAAGTGCTTTAAAAACTCTCATTTGATCATCACAACATTCCTGGAAGGCAGGTGATATTATCAGTTGTATTTTACAATTTAGGAAATTGAGGGTTAAGTTACTTGCTTAATGACACATAGCTAGTATCTAACACCAGATTTCAACTCAAGTCTTCTTGACTGTAGACCCAGTGCTCCAATCACTGAAACACCTAGGTATCCTTAGGCCCATATCTGTAACTATTCCTGACCTCATCAGTATTGTAGAGCAGCTAGCCCAGGTTAAGAATAAGACCACAGTAGCAGAGTCCATCGATCACAATGTAGTTCATATTAGTGTCAAATGATGGGAAATCACTCCTGCAATAATCCATAGTCCAGTTGGCTCAGTCAAATTTGTGGGAACACAACGACTTGGCCAGGCAGAGACCAGGACAAGCTATTGATACTTACTCATCTAGTGACTCAGAAGTAAGAGGACTCAGGTTCAAATCCTCTCTCTCATGGTTCTTACCAGTGTGACTGGTAAGAAATGATTTAACCTTATTTTTCCTCAATTCCTTCATCTCTCATATAAAGTGATTTGACTTAAATCACTTTGAGATATCTTCCAGTTTTACTCTTTTGGGTTTATAGGAATGATATCAGAGAGATAATAGAAGATGTACATTCAGGCAGAAAGACCAGAGCTAGAGATATAGTTATTTTGCATCATTCCAATTAGAAATAAAATTTTCATTTTTGTTGTGCTCACTATTTTTTGATAATAACAAAGGTGACAGTTGATTGTGTTCCTTACTTCCTATGAATTCGATTTTACCTGGTTAAAATCAAACTCCTGTATTATAGTAATTAATATTGAAATGGCTTACCTCCCAGAGGGCAACATTTCATTTGCAATGAGCAATTTCAGTGAATTGATGGTGTAGATGATTTGTACATATTGAATTTGCACATATTACATCATGCTTATTATTAAGTTTAGGTTGGGGACTCCCATTGCTGATTCTGTCAAAGCCCTTCATGGTGACATGATAATCACAGCCCTGTTGAGAGATGAGCTCATCTAGTTTGCTTCTCTATAATTTGGCCCAAGTCATTGTTCTCCAGATCCAGGATCTCCAGGTACCTTAATATGACAGCACCAAGGTTCTTATAACTTGAATCTTAGGAATTCCTCTAAGCCCCATTGGATACCAGTCTTCACGATACAGCAAGGATACCACAAGGATTCAGTAAGTGACTCTTTATTCCTTAGGTTTTGAGATAGGGCAAGTTTAGGGAAGAGACTTTTAAAAATCTCCTTTTTTGTCTCCTCATATTTTATTGCTACATTTATACATCTGTATATAATATATATGATTTTGTTATGCTTTTTTGCCTTTATTTCATATTTTTTAAATAATATGTATTCAGAAGTGATTATTAACAATGGAAATATATAATATAATCACCATTTCTTTTGTATAATATATATATATATATATATACATATATATATATATATATATATATCTCCTCCATTTTATATAATATATACACAGGTATGTGTGGATGTATGTATGTTTCTCTGCATATTCTCACATCCTATATATTTTCTAATTTTTCTTCTCTTTTGCTACATTGTTTTTATTTTTTATTCTTCTCTATATATTTAACCATACCTTATTTTTCCCCCCTACATAGTAACTATTACTTTTTTCTATCTCTATTTCTCTTTCAGGAAAAAAAGAGGCATTTAAATTTCTTTCCCTTTTAACTATCCCTACCTCTTTCATTATTTGTCGTATAGTGTTTTCTTTCTTTCTTTCTTTCTTTCTTTCTTTCTTTCTTTCTTTCTTTCTTTCTTTCTTTCTTTCTTTCTTTCTTTCTTTCTTTCCTTTTCCTTTTTTCTTTTTTTTTTTACACTTTCTTTCAGTTCTATGACTCTTCTACCTTTTCTGTATTTCTCTGATGCCTCTATACCTCCAGGTTATAAAGTCACTCAACATTACCATCATCACGTCCATTTTCTCAATCAACTTTTTTCTCCTTTCCTATTTGTAATTCCTGTTTAATATTTTTTTTCCTTTTCTTAACCTTTGGTTCAGGGATTGATTATTTAATAACCTGTCTTCACCTGTCCCTCCCCAACTGCTCCCCCCTGAAAAATAGTGCTTTCAGTATATAGGACAATCACATTGGCTCTTTCCAGTTCTAAATTGTGAGTTTTTAAACTGATGCATATGAGCTGTTTTTCATTTATCATGCCTCTTAAGACCCTTCCTAGAGCAAAAAAAGAAGTTACATTTGTAATTTAAAATACTCTGAGGTGCTTTTTGTAACACAGGTGAAACTTTTTCTTCTCTTTAGATAGCATGTATAAAGAGAAAATGAAATGATGAATGTTTTTTCCCATTTAACATGTGAGGAAATGAGACCCAGAAAGGGCAGAGTAATAAGTAGCTCAGGATTACAGAGCAAATTTTCAGTAGTTATGAAAAGATTCCAAGTTCCATTATTGTTAGTATAGGTCTCTTATTCTCACCTTTATTTCTAAGAAATTTAGGTGTATTTTTAAGCTAACTAGACAGTTTATAATATCTAGCATATTTTGGAAATGTCTTCTGCCATTTCTTAATGCTTCACACAAGGAGAATTGGATATGAACCAGAAATACAGCATGCTCTGAGTTTTCATTATGCTTCTTTCCAAATTTAACCCATCACTTTTCAGACTGCATTAATGATTGCTTGAAAAGGCAGATGAGAGTCTCATTGTAACTTGCACATGTATTGGGAAATTTTAACTGTCAAATATACTGCTTCTGTTGGAATTGGCCCTTAACATTGCTGTTTTCATTCTTGAAAGATACTAGTTGGTTATATAATTTTTCAATACTATGGAAACCCAATATAGGCCATATATGTTTTCTTTTTTTATCATTACTTTATCACTTCACCTTGTCTAGTATCACCTTTTTTTCCCCTTTTCCTTTTTCCTCTCATTCTTTTTTCTTCCCCTTTAACTGCTCTAAACATAGCAAATATTTTAGCCAATTAATTCAATTTATTAAAATAATTTTATAATGTTATTGATTTTCTCATAGTAATCTTATATTGCTTTACACACTTCTTCAAAAAAAATGATCTGAATCATTAAAAAGTCATGTTTTAGCATTTCTTTCCTCCCTCCATTTACCCTATTGTTACTTTAACTTACTGTTCTTTCCATGATTACTTCCCTCACTTCCTATTCTTCTTGACCAATTCATCTAATATTTTCTTCAATGATTTCCTTACTTTTCATTGTTAATTCTTCTCCATTTCATTCCTCTATCATTCTCTTTGCTCCTTTCATTCATGAATTATGATCCTCTCCTTTCACCCTCCCCTTCCTATTCTCTTTCTCTTATCCAGTCCACACACAGGAGATAATTTATCCATCAGTTTATTTTCAAGTTAGTAATATATTTTGCTTTAGATAGTCTTATCCTTGTTTCACGGCTTGAAACTGTTTTTTTAGCTTAGAAGATGGAGAGTTTGGTTTTGAGGCATAAAGATTTGGGAACAAATCTTGCTACTCTCATATACTATCTATGTAACCTTAAACAAAACCCTCAACCTCAAAATATGCTAAGCAACTCCTTTCAACGCACTTTGTCTTCTGGTTTACAAGTGTAGAAGGAGTTGCCTTATCCATGAAATTGGCAGTTTACACCGATTCTTATTACTATGTACTTTGTAGGAAAGTTGTAGTTCCTCTTGGACACCATGACCTCCAGGCCCTTGACCCCTCAATTTTTTCCCTGAGAATCACCCCTGCTGTAGCTACACTACACTCCCTTTACTACACTAACCCCCTGAAGAACCAACTTAACTCTATCTCATTCTTTTCTCTTGAGTCCCTTGCCCCTTAGCTTATTTCTTTTATTTCTGTCCCAAGCATTTGTTGTGTATTGCTCCTAAAGTCTGCTACCTTTCTTCCTATACACATGCTCCTGAGGAAAGCTTGAAAAACAAAACAAAATATACTAAAACTGTGTTGATTTGGACCCACTATAAATTTGGTCAGTAACTTCAATTGGTCAATAAACACAACTAGGCCCTGAATGCTGCATGGAAATCCTTTTATTCCTCCCTAATTAACTCACTATCTCAGTCATTATAGCAGTTCTTCTAAAACTCTTTGTCCTTTTTTGATATTGTGCTGTCTTATTTCCCTCCCCTCTCAAATAAGGCAGGTGTTTCATATTTTACTGAAAACTGTGAAGCCATTTCCTAACAGCTCCCTCTTCTCTCATCTTAATTTCATATCACTCATATGCCTTCTGATACTTCTTCACCTTTATCTCACTTTATGAGATGGCCCTTTTCCAACTCATCTTCTTCAGCAGATTCCCCCCAATCATTTCAGTTTCTCACTTATGTCTCTCCCTATCCACTGGCTATTTCTCTACTGCCTATAAACATGCTTCTGACTGCTGAAATATTCCTTACTCTGTGCATCCAAAGACTCTTTCTATCATTCTCTTTTGCGCCTAAGTGTGTCTCCTTTCCTTTACTTTAAATCTCTTTTTAAGTCACTGCAGTCTGATTTCTTACTTCAACATCAAGTGAAATATGCTCTCCTCAAAGTTATTCAAAATTTTTTAGTTGACAAAAATGAGCGGTCTTTTGTCAATCCTTATCTTTCTTGATGTCAGCCTTTGGCACTGTCAATCACTTTCTTGATACAGTCTTTTCTCTAAGTTTTCAGAAACCTGGTTCTTTTCTGAATTATCTAATGACTCCTTCTTGGTCTTTTTTGCTAGATCTTCATCTAAGTCATGCCTACTCATGTTGGGCAGCCCAGAGGATTCTGTCCCAAAACCATATTTTCTGCTCCCTCTATATTGTTTCACTTGGTTATCTCATCAGCTTGCAATAATTCAATTAGTATCAGTTTGCTGAAGATTCTCAAGTGTACTTTTACAACCCTATCCTCTCTCTTAACTAGCAGTCTTCCATCTCCAATGGCCCGTTAATGATTTCATATTAGTTGTCCCACAGACATTAAACTCAACATATCCAAACCTGAACTTGTTGCATTAACACAAAACCCACACCTTTCATAAATTCTCTCTTACTTTTGGAGCTAACACCATTCTTCTAGGCACCCAGGCTGGTTACTTAAGTGTAACCCTCAGTTCCTTATTCTCATACCTCATTTCTAATCTGTTGTAAAATCCTTCCCATTTTACCTTCATAACATCAATTGCATATATATCCTCTCTTTTCTGTCACTGCAAACATCTTGGTGTGGGATTTCATCACCACATACCTGGACTAATACAATAGCATGCAGGTTTGTGTCCACAGTTCAAATCTCTCCAAACCTCAGTCCATGCTCTACTTAGTTGTCAACATAAACTTCACTGCTGCCTCCTACTCAATAAAACTCATGAGCTTTCTATCTCAAGGGCATTCAGTGTACTTCATAACTTCTTCCAACTCACCTTCCTGATCTTTTTTAAAACTTATGGTCAACTTCTCCAGGCACTCTGTGGTCCAGTGACATTGACCCTCTGCTGTTTCTTGAATAAGGCATTGCATCTTGAAACTCTGGACATCATCTGGTATATAGCTTGCTTGCACATTGTTTTGATGTAGTTTTTTCACCTTAGATTCTAAAGTTCTTGAAACCAAGGACTATCATTTGGGTTTTTTTTTTAAATCCACAACATGTAGCATATTGCCACACAGAAGGCATTTGAAAAAGTTTACTGACACGCTAACAAAAGTTAAAAAGATGATTTAGAAATTCTACTGTTCTAATGGTCACTCAACATAATTAAGAATTTGAAAAATCTGCAAGGAAGTAACATCATAGTACTATTTCAAACCTTCAGTTATAGAATAAAGATCAAACATGAGCACTTAAATGGTTGAATAAGAGCACAAAATATGAATTGTGTGCAAAGAATCAATATAGGAAGCAATTTTTGGAGACTAATTAGATAAAAATACAAGTCAGGACAATATTTTGTTCCTGAAACAGAGTCAGGAAATGCTTTAGAATAGGACAGTCACTCTGTAAATATAATTTAAATAAAATAAAATGAATCAAAATAAAGGAAATCAAACCTCTTCTCTGGAATTTGAGAAACTCTCCTATTTAATTCACCATCATTACAACCACCTTCTTCAACTTCCTCAAGAGAAAATTAGAATGATATAGATAGGATTAATACTACCTCAATGACATTACTGACAAA